TAACGTTGCCTTCGACCGACAGAAACCCTCCAAAGTGCAGCTGCTCCATGCCCTCAAAACAGCGTCACACAGCGACCTCCACGGCGGTTCCGAAACACCAGCAAACACCATGGCACTGACGGACTGAAAGCGGCGCTATCAGCAGGGTCCACTGTCACTGCCTAACGGTTCCTTCTGCACCGACAAGAAACCACTCCAAAGTGGCGCTCCCATGCCCCTCAAACAGCCCCCCTTTTGTGTCCTGAAGGACGGAATCGGCCCCTAGCAAGCAAGGCTCCACTGCCTAACGTTCCTTTCTGAGCCCGAACAATAAACCAGCTCCAAAGTGTCAGCGTCCCAGGCTGCCCTGTCTGTCTGTTGTCTGTCTGCCCTAGCAGCAGGCTCCACTGCCTACCAAGTGCCTAACGTTGCCTTCTGAACCGACAAGAAACCAGCTCCAAAGTGCAGCTCCCATGCCCTCAAAACAGCTCCACAGCGACCTCCCAGCGGGCAATTCCGAAACAGCAAAACACCATGGCACTGAAGGACGGAAGCGGCACCTAGCAAGCAGGCTCCACTGCCTAACGTTGCCTTCTGAGCCGACAAGAAACCAGCTCCGAAGTGCAGCTCCCAGGCTGCCCTGTCTGTCTGTCTGTCTATCTGTCTGTCTGTCTGTCTGTCTGTCTGTCTGCACCTAGCAAGCAGGCTCCAGTGCCTAACGTTGCCTTCTGAACCGACAAGAAACCAGCTCCCATGCCTTCTCAGCCGACAAGAAACCAGCTCCAAAGTGCAGCTCCCATGCCCTCAAAGCAGCTCCACAGCGACCTCCCAGCGGGCGGTTCCGAACCAGCAAAACACCATTGCACTGAAGGACGGAAGCGGCACCTAGCAAGCAGGCTCCACTGCCCAACGTTGCCTTCTGAGCCGACAAGAAACCAGCTCCACAGTGCAGCTCCCATGCCCTCAGCTCCACAGCGAAGTCTCAGCGGGCGGTTCCGAAACAGCAACACACCATGGCATGCCTGTCCCCCCTGTTTGCCTGTTTGCCTGTCTGCCTGTCTGCCTGTCCGCGTGTCTGTCTGCCTGTCTGCCTGTCTGCCTGTCTGCCTGTCTGCCCGTCTGCCCGTCTGCCTGTCTGCCTGTCTGCCTGTCTGCCTGTCTGCCTGTCTGCCTGTCTGCCTGTCTGCCTGTCTGTCTGTGTCTCTGTGTCTCTGTGTCTGTCTGTCTGTCTGTCTGCATTTAGCAAGCAGGCTCCACTACCTAACGTTGCCTTCGGAACCGACAAGAAACCAGCTCCAAAGTGCAGCTCCCATGCCCTCAAAACAGCGTCACAGCGACCTCCCAGCGGGCGGTTCCGAAACAGCAAAACACCATGGCACTGAAGGACGGAAGCGGCGCCTAGCAAGCAGGGTCCACTGCCTAACGTTGCCTTCTGAACCGACAAGAAACCAGCTCCAAAGTGCAGCTCCCATGCCCTCAAAACAGCTCCACAGCGACCATCCCAGCGGGCGGTTTTCCAACAGCAAAACACCAATGGCACTGAAGGAACGGGAGCGGCACCTAGCAGCTTTCCACGTCCCTAACGTTGCTTCTGAGCCCAACAAGAAACCAGCTTCCAAGTGCAGCTCCCCAGGCTCCCCTGTCTGTCTGCTCTTCGTCTGTCTGCACCTAGCAAGCAGGGTTCACACTCCTAACGTTTTGCTTTCTGAACCTACCGAAACCACGCCGCCAGAGTGCAGGGCTTCCCATTCCCTCAAAACAGCTCCACAGCGACCTCCCATCGTGCGGTTCGCGAAACAGCAAAACGCCCTGGCACTGAATGACGGAAGCGCAACCCTAGCAAGCTGCGCCACTGCCTAACGTTGCCTTCTGAAGCCGCAAAACCAGCTCCAAAGTGCAGCTCCCATGCCCTCAAAACAGCTCCACAGTGACCTCCCAGCGGGCGGTTCCGAAACAGCAAAACACCATGGCACTGAAGGACGGAAGCGGCGCCTAGCAAGCAGGGTCCACTGCCTAACAACCGACAAGAAACCAGCTCCAAAGTGCAGCTCCCATGCCCTCAAAACAGCTCCACAGCGAAGTCTCAGCGGGCGGTTCCGAAACAGCAACACACCATGGCATGCCTGTCTGCCTGTCTGCCTGTCTGCATGTCTGTCTGTCTGTCTGTCTGTCTGCACCTAGCAAGCAGGCTCCAGTGCCTAACGTTGCCTTCTGAGCCGACAAGAAACCAGCTCCAAAGTGCAGCTCCCATGCCCTCAAAACAGCTCCACAGTGACCTCCCAGCGGGCGGTTCCGAAACAGCAAAACACCATGGCACTGAAGGACGGAAGCGGCGCCTAGCAAGCAGGGTCCACTGCCTAACGTTGCCTTCTGAACCGACAAGAAACCAGCTCCAAAGTGCAGCTCCCATGCCCTCAAAACAGCTCCACAGCGACCTCCCAGCGGGCGGTTCGGAAGCAGCAAAACACCATGGCACTGAAGGACGGAAGCGGCACCTAGCAAGCAGGCTCCACTGCCTAACGTTGCCTTCTGAGCCGACAAGAAACCGAGTGCAAAGTGCAGCTCCCATGCCCTCAAAACAGCTCCACAGCGAAGTCTCAGCGGGCGGTTCGGAAACAGCAATGCACACCATGGCATGCCTGTCTGCCTGTCTGCCTGTCTGCCTGTCTGCCTGTCTGCCTGTCTGTCTGTCTGTCTGTCTGTGTCTGTCTGTCTGTCTGTCTGCACCTAGCAAGCAGGCTCCAGTGCCTAACGTTGCCTTCTGAACCGACAAGAAACCAGCTCCAAAGTGCAGCTCCCATGCCTTCAAAACAGCTCCGCAGTGACCTCCCAGCGGGCGGTTCCGAAACAGCAAAACACCATGGCACTGAAGGACGGAAGCGGCGCCTAGCAAGCAGGGTCCACTGCCTAACGTTGCCTTCTGAACCGACAAGAAACCAGCTCCAAAGTGCAGCTCCCATGCCCTCAAAGCAGCTCCACAGCGAAGTCCCAGCGGGCGGTTCCGAAACAGCAAAACACCATGGCACTGAAGGACGGAAGCAGCACCTAGCAAGCAGGCTCCACTGCCTAACGTTGCCTTCTGAGCCGACAAGAAACCAGCTCCAAAGTGCATCTCCCAGGCTGCCCTGTCTGTCTGTCTGTCTGTCTGCACCTAGCAAGCAGGCTCCAGTGCCTAACGTTGCCTTCTGAACCGACAAGAAACCAGCTCGAAAGTGCAGCTCCCATGCCCTCAAAACAGCTCCACAGCGACCTCCCAGCGGGCGGTTCCGAAACAGCAAAACACCATGGCATTGAAGGACGGAAGCGGCGCCTAGCAAGCAGGGTCCACTGCCTAACGTTGCCTTCTGAACCGACAAGAAACCAGCTCCAAAGTGCAGCTCACATGCCCTCAAAAAATAGTTCCACAGCGACCTCCCAGCGAGCGGTTCCGAAACAGCAAAACACCATGGCACTGACGGACGGAAGCGGCACCTAGCAAGCAGGGTCCACTGCCTAACGTTGCCTTCTGAGCCGACAAGAAACCAGCTCCAAAGTGCAGCTCCCATGCCTTCAAAACAGCTCCACAGCGACCTCCCAGCGGGCGGTTCCGAAACAGCAAAACACCATGGCACTGAAGGACGGAAGCGGCGCCTAGCAAGCAGGCTCCAGTGCCTAACGTTGCCTTCTGAGCCGACAAGAAACCAGCTCCAAAGTGCAGCTCCCATGCCCTCAAAACAGCTCCACAGCGACCTCCCAGCGGGCGGTTCCGAAGCAGCAAAACACCATGGCACTGAAGGACGGAAGCGGCACCTAGCAAGCAGGCTCCACTGCCTAAGGTTGCCTTCTGAGCCGATAAAAAAATCAATAAAAATGCAAATGCCTGCGGCCAAAGCCAGCGATCCAAGACCCAAAAAATGCTGGCTCTCTGGCTCTCTCTCTGTCTGTCTGCCTCTCTGTCTCTCTGTCTCTCTTCTGTCTGTCTGTCTGTCTGCCTGCCTGCCTGCCTGCCTGTCTGCCTCTGTCTCCGGAGCATTCTTCTCCGGCGCGCTCCCCCAGCATCCGGCTGGGGTCGGCGGATATAAGAAAAGAAGACAATAAGGAAGAAAGAAAGCAAAGACAAAGGAAGGAAAAAAGAAGGGAAGGAAAGAAAAGGAAAGAAATGAAAGGGAAGGAAAGAAAAGGAAAGAAATGAAAGGAAAGGAAGGAAAAGGAAGACAAGCAAAGGAAAAGGAACGTGAAGAAAAGGAAAGAAAAGGAAGGACAAGGTAAGAACAAGGAAAAGAGGAAGGAAACGGACAAAAAGGGCAAGACAAGAAAAGAAAAGGAAAAGAGAAGAAAAAGGAGGAAAAAAAGGAAAGACAGAAAGGGAAAAGATAAGGAAAGGAAGCGATAGGTGAGCTCGGGGGGAGCTCGGGGGGAGCATGTCAGCCCATTGGACCTCGTTCGGACCTCGTTGAGTTCACCGGGCATGTGCGGCCAAAGACATATTCATGCATGCGCCATCATGCGCCCAAACCTCTGTGTTTATAACATTTTATAACCCCCATGCAACACGCGGAAACCCAGGTTATATAAATGTTTCTCCCGGCCAATGCTCTCATTATCCAGCTAGAAATCCCGTTTACAATGGGTTTCCCATCAAACTATGAGGATAAACACAACTCAAACTACAAACTGTTTTGCGATGGTGAAACTTGCGTCCAGAGTGATCTGCAATTATCAAAACACCTTGTTCCAAACATCCATCGTTGGTGTGACTTTTTCGGCATGTTGGTGTGCGGAGTTCGATGCGGGAAAACATTCTCTCAGCGAAGTTGGCATGACTACCGATGATATTTGCAGTCACCCTAAGTTCAAAGATAACGTCATCAACACGTTTTTTGACAGTTTTGTCGCTGGCAGATGATTGATCTACATTCATTTGTTGGTTTGATTCATGAATTTCCAGTGTACATGATGTATCATGATGTTTGTCTTTTTTTTTCATTTTTCCCCCATGACTCATGACCAAAGAAAGTCACATTATAATGCTGGCAGCTGAGGTGAATATGCAAATGGTCCCGTCACGAAGGCGCAAGTGAAGGCCAACAAACTGACCAAGGCTGGACTTGTGCAACTTCTATCAACGCCCCATTATGATAAGAAAAAATGAAAAAAACACGAAAGGGGCAATATTTTTGCAGAAGATTATGCACTTTGATTTTGATGCCTGCAGAACATGTTTTCATCTACTGTACAGCCGAGAGAGCACCAGGAGATGAGGTTTGTTGCAGATCAAACATGTCGACCGAGAAGCAAATGTTGACCAAGAGAACGCGTTGACACGAGATGGCCAGGTGAGCCCTGCTCTATGTGCAGCTAACGTTGGCGGTGTCATCCAAGGGTCACCTGGCAAGGGAGCTTCACAATATGGAAATGTATGGAATCGCAAATGATACTCAGAGACCTGAACAATTTGGACAGAGCTCCCACATCTGAGACACCTCGTTAATCCATGTGGTCCATGTTGATCCTCTTTCTTTTGGGTCCGAATCCGGGAATCGAGGAATCCCTTTGCTGATTCCAAGGTTCATCAACGTCATCACGGTGGGCCAAATCATGGTGATGTAGCATGGCTATGCGGCTATGCGGCTATGCGCATTGGGAGGAAGTTAGTTGTGAAAAGACGTTTTTCAGGAACAGCCACACATGGAGCTAGAATTCGGATCAGGTGTCAATGTGTTTGTCTCTTGTTCGTATTGAATTCGTATTGTATTCGTATTGTCCCTGCCAGAACCCGCGATGGTGATAACTCATCATGATTATTTGTTCTCTGGTGGGTCAGAAACGCATGTCAACATGTCAATGCATGTCAACACGTCAACGCACATCAACCCATGTCAATACACGCCAACACACGTCAACACACGTCAACACATGTCAACACCCCACAAGCACCTGAGAAACGGATGTGAGAATCATACTATTGTATCATGTTATATCATGTTATATCATGTTATATTATGTTATATCATGTTATATCATGTTATATCATGTTACATCTCCTGATCTGTGAAGGGGTACAGTCATGTTTTTCAACAGTTTGGCCAAAGTAATAGTTACAATTTCATTGGCCAATCGCAAGCTCAGGCAGTGCGACAACATCATGACCGCCTCAAGGATGTGTGGCCAAGGCTCTCGTGAGAAGGGGTCAAGGTTTCTAGTGATCGCATTGCTCAAGACATTTCCAGACACTCATGAAAGATCTATGAATGATCTTGCTAGTAGATCTAGTAGCTGCCACCATGAAAGTTCAGAAGTAAATGTGCTCCTGGCTGATCTTGTCCTCAAGCAATGCAACTGCACATTGTTGTGAATTCCAACCAAGTAGAAGTGTCTACAGTAGAAGTTGCTGGTCCAATCTGGGTAGCCATAATAGTACGAAAGTCGAAATCTAACATCAACTTATATAAGTACAATATTTTGCGTCATCAACTTGCAGCTTATTGTAGGTCCCCCCGTTGACGACCCATCCCCTGCGAGGTATTTCTATGTTTTTCAGCGCAGCAGCAAATTTGGTCAGAGGCCAAACACCGTGGTGCTGGTCATTGATTCCACAAGATTTCAAGGGAATGGCAAGCTCTTGACACCCTCCGTCTTCGAGATGTGGATTCTGAATGATTCTGATGGATTTGGTGTAGAAATGGACATATATACCTCCTCTGAGAAACAGTGGCCCGTGCTCAGTAATTTGGGGCCCATATCACAGGCTCTTGCCTTTGATGTTTTCACCAGGCCAAGAAATTGATGAGTGCATTTGCAATGGTTTCCGGCAACCTAAAAAAAAACAATTCCAGCCACTCAGCCTGTTCTTTTTTGCAGCGATATAAAGGCAGGAGATGTTGCCCCCCTTGTGACTCAGTTGTTTAGTAGAAACTTTTATTCAGAGAAGACGTAACATCGAGCACATATCCCAGCTTGTTCTACTGGATTTCCATCAGGCTGTCGCTATTGATGTTTCTTTCTGTGGGAGGATCTGGTCAATTGTACGACTTCTGTGTCTTGAAAGCCTTCAACGCGGTGCCTTGGTGGATCTTGGTGGTCAAAGTGGAGATTTCAGGTTGAAAGTATTTGCGGTTTCACGAAGCACTTAGTGATAGATGGAGATTAAGCAAAGCAAGTTGGGTCTAAAAGAAAGTGCAAAAGTATGCAAATGACATCAAATGACATCTTCAATTTTGAATACTTTGACCGAGACTCGAGAATCAGTCGAACAGTGGTATCCAGAAGCTCGAGATGCTTTGCAGAGGAATGTCCGTGCTCTGAGGCGCAGGTTGATCAGCGTTGGCAGTGGAAGAAAGCGCCCTACCTGCACCAAATCGGCCCATTCTTCCAGCTGCCAATTTGCTCCAGCAATGGGAATGATGTGTGGGTCAATACATGTCAATACCAAATAACATCAAATAACTCCCACATTTTGTCCATTAACATCCCACTACAGTAATCACATCCCACTACATCCCACTACATCCCACTACATCCCACTAGCACTACATCCAAATTTTAATATCAACAATAACTATAACATTGTATTATCAACCAGTATTTTGTATTATCAGCCAGTATTCTTGGGATGCTCAGCTCTAGGCTTTCCATTCATTCGAATTCCCATGTCCAGCACCGTCCACATTTGTTTGAGCCAAGGGCCTCGTGACCCGACGGCTGCAGGCTGCCCGCCATTCTGATGTCAAATCACCATTGATCTAGTGATGAATTAGTAATCTAGTGATCTAGCGATACTAGATGATATTAGATGATATATGATGATATTAGATGATATATGATGATATTATTAGTGATCAGTGATCATCAGTGATCTAGTTACTCTAGTTATGCAGGAAGACGAGCTGCGACGAGCAGATCCCGTTGAGTTCTTTGAAGGCCAGTGTGTTTTTTTCAGGGAGAGTTTGACCAGCTTTGGATATCTTTAGATGACTTCATGTTCTCCTGGAGAGCCATTGCCAGATTTGCCAGTTACTTCATTTTCTTCAGTCATGGCTGAAGTTTCGACTGCTGGCGCTCCGTTCCCAGTGCTTTGATGCTGATTTCATGCATATTGATATTTCATGCTACGCACACTTTACCACTTGGTGGTGGAAATTCCAAGCTGTCAAGGACTGCCCAGTAAAGCAACCCCCCATGCTGTAGCATGCCATAGCAGGCCATAGCTGTTGCCTTCTCGGCTGGAGACGGCCTTCCGCCTTTATTTCTGCAGGACTTTACAAGAACGTGAGTGGCTACAAAATGGATTTGAAGAAGGGAATCAGAGGTGACAAGGACCCCTGTACGACTCACCGTGCTCACCGTTTGACAGCAATTCAACAGTAGTGCTGAAATTGATAGAATTTGAAGAAAATCAAACTTGTCACTTAATTGAATCCAGAATTCTCACACTCTGCAGGCTGAAGGTATTCACTATTGGTGGGTTGATGTTTGGACTATATATTATATTTATATTGATGTTTATTGTGTTTATTTTCAATGTTTGGACATGTTTGATTATTTGTATAATTTGTATATTTATATATAGGTTGGCTGTATATGTTGGTGAGTTCTGGTCTGGGGGATGACTCGCAAGTACGGTAGTTTGGCTTGCATAGAGAGTGAATATTTGATTACATTACATGTCTTGCGGCAGCAAGAATCTCTGCCCAGTCTAATTATACAAGAAGTGGAGAAAGCTCTTGCAATTGCTGCTTGGATTGCACAGAGTGAGCTGGTCAGACTGAGGAGGTTTGCATTTTGACAATGAAAAGTATCAAAATCACTGGATCCCACATGCAAAAAGGGCCATGGGCTGGGACAAATCTTGTAAGGCTAGGACAGTCTTACACCATCGCGGAGGAGAATAAGGGCTTGACATGGTATCCAAATATAGGTATCCGATGGTATCCGGGCTATCTGGACCACGAACGAACCCAGCTGGCATTAAAGATGAAATCCAACACTTCAGTGGTTCACACCGAATATGTCTACGTGCAGAATATGTGTATAAAGAACACACATGTACAAATGTAACGTATATGTGTATATATGTATATACACCAGCAGCTAAATGTCACTGTAGTTGTTGTTGTTTGAATCTGTTCCTGAGAACAAAGACAACCCGGAACACCTCTGAATCAGTTTCTGTAGTTGCGACAGTTCTATCTGATTTCCAGACGGTTCGGCTAAGAGCTTTCTGATCACAAAGCAACCAATGGTGAGAACATGTGAGAACTGTTTGGTTTGCACAATGGGATGTGCAAATATGTTGGGATGGGTGGTACGAAAGCAGCTCTTTTCTAGATTCCAGTGATGTAATTAGGGATCCTGTGAGGCTTACAGGACAGGATAGAACGTAATTCCCAAGGATCAGTGGTGAACCAGTCGTTACCAACCATTGAAACGCACTGAAGTGACACAGCTTTAATAGACTGCGAGATGTTTTCAGCTTGCCACGGCCCAGAAAGATGACAGCACTTGACCAGAGGGTGCTGTGATGATCCATGAGCGCAAGCAAAAAGGAAAGGTGACAGCGCAGATTGAAGTGAGCCAGACTTTGACGTCAGATGATCATGTATCAATATTATATCAATATTATATCAATATTATATCAATATTATATCACTATTATATCACTATTATATCAATATTATATCAATATTATATCAATATTATATCAATATTATATCAATATTATATCAATATTATATCAATATTATTTCAATAGTATATCAATATTATATCAATCAATAGTATATCAATATTATATCAACATTATTATATCAATAGTATATCAAGATTATATCAATATTATATCAATATTATATCAATATTATATCAATATTATATCAATAATATGTCAATATTATATCAATATTATATCAATATTTTATCAATGTTACATCAATATTATATCAATATTATATCATTATATCAATATTATATCAATATTATATCAATATTATATCAATATCATATCAATATTATATCAATATTATATCAATATTATAGCAATATTATATCAATATTTTATCAATATTTCATCAATATTATGTCAATAGATATATATAGATATATAGATATATATGCATATATATATTATAATTATTTCAAATAAAAATAGATTAAAAAAATGAAATTAAAAAACAAAAAACATATCCAACAAAAAAATAAACAGTAATTTAAAACAATCTAAAAATTAAAAAAAAACATAAAACAACTGAAACATGACACCCAAAAACATGGAAATAAAAGCGGCCCGCCTCATCATTTTCCCTGGGCCTGAATTATTTCAGAAAATTTGAAACAACAGAGGCCCACCACACTAATCAGGATCCAACATTACAAAAGTTGGCCTTTACAAAGCGATCTCTTTGTACAGTTTTTGTGTGAGGAGGCTTGAACAAAATTTTTCCACATCGAATCGACGTGGCCTGCCCATGTCCTGCAAGGACCCTAGTTGCGAACTCGAACAGGCGCAAACCAAAAAAAAAACTCCAAGAATCAGCATCTTTCAGTGTGAAACGGCTTCGCGTTAGGATCTCTTTACATCATGGCGCCCGTCGACGTCGATCACTTGAACAATCATGATGGCTGGCATGCGAGGTAAGTACATGGGACATAATCATGGGACTTGTTTTTCCACATGTGTTGCGACATGTTGCGACATTTTCGAGTCAATGCGTTCGAATTTGTTCGTGACAGCCAATTTCCTAGGAATCAAACAGCAGGTGCTGCTTGGGCAAGAACGGTTTCATGACTGATGCAGCTGCGGTTTTTTAGTTTCAAACCCTGGCGCTTTTGGTTTTGCGGCCTTGAAAACTGTTACGGCACGTCCAGGTTCCACAAAAACAACTTGATTTTGTGACCAGTATTTCTGCATTGCGTGTGTGCCTATCTCATGTGCGGTCGTTCGGGCACATGCAGCGTTGTGTCCCGCAGGAGAGAGATGAACACCCGTCCGAAAGTGCAACGAAATTTAACGGTTTCGTTGATCTACAATAAAATAACGTTTTGCGGCGTTGGATTGCTGTTTTACGAAGATCGGGCTGGTGGACATGAATCGGCTACAACTGTTTCTTCAAATGCGCAAGATATCGCATTCATGAAGGGGGCAGTTGACTCCTTGCGGAGTTTTAATCATTATAACCTCGTATAGAAGTATTGAACACGGCCAGGGTCCCCGACGATGTCCTTCTTTTGGCTCAAGTGTTTCCTTGTCACGGGAGCGGGTGACCAATTTGATTGCGCTTGCTCCATGCGAGGGATTCAATCTCAAGGGATTTTACGAGGCCATTTCCACGATGCGAAACCGGATACCATGCTTCTTTGAAACCATCCAATGTGGTTTCATGATTTTAAGGATATGTTTGCAGCACCACACGGGTTTCATGAAAGCAGATTGGTTCCATTATGTTCCATTGATTTTCATTGCTTCTTTGGAGATGTTTTTGCATACGTATACATGCAGACCTGATTCGTGCATGCGTGCATGTAGACCGATACACACGCAGATATACAATGATATACATATTTTTTTTTCAAAAAATATATATACATACAGTATATATTATGAATATGAATGAATATGATACAATCATTTTGCCCACAAAATCATTTTGACTTGCGCTTTGGATTGGAGGGTTGCACTGCCAATGCCGCCACAGGTTTGTCGCGTGACGTGGTCGAGTTTGTAGAAGATGATGAAGAACATCAAGGTGAAAACATCTACGTTCCAGGCAAGGTGCAGTTTGAGGCATGCCTTTGGCAAATGCCACAAGAAATTGACCGGCCCAGACTGTTTCGGATGTGCAGGACATGTGGCTGGTGATCGGATTGAATATGGTTCAATGCTTTGAGAATTTGGCACCATTTTAGTTTTGTATGCTAGCATCCGATTTCTGCACGGCCTTCCAAAATCTTATGCGAAGCGAATTGGTATATCAGCCTTATGAATTGTTTCTGTCGCTTGGTGCTGGTGAGTTCCATGTCAAACATGTCAGGTGGCTTTAGGATCCGCGCTATCCGAAATGAACACCAATTCAATATTAGCAGTTGCTCGGTCTCAAATGGGGAGCTCAGCCACTCAAACGGAGATAATAATTGGATTCCAGTCCTGCGCTTGGAGCGGGTGAAGCGGAAGACAAAAATAGGCTACGAGAAATAGTGAAACACAACTTGCAGACGGCAGACGCCCTCACTAGAATTATATAAAGGGCAGGTTGCGGGCTCCTGAACTTTCCCGCCTTTGATGCGCCGAGGACTTGCTTTGACAGTGTTTTTTTCTGTTCGGATCTCAGTCGCGGGCCGTTGGCCTCCCACCTAGGAGCAGCAACGAACATTCACTGCCTTGCTATCCATCTTCGCAGTTTGGAAAGGCAGTAGCAAGTTGACTGGCAAAATGTCATTGAATTGAACATATTGAACACCATTCGTCGTTCTTGGGATTTCGTTTGGCTGGCTAGAGGTTGCCGTGGCAATTACCCTTTTAGGGACCTATTTGGCGCACAGAGAGCCTGCAAGAAGTGGGGAGGACATCGGGCTGTTGAAGTTCGAAGGTTTTCAGAGGCACAAGGGTTAATGGTCAAGTTCAAGGGTTAATGGTTAACTTATCTTAACTTCAATATTTTGTGCCTTGATGCCACGTCAGCGCTAGCCATCGGAGGGGCATTTTGCCAGTTCTATCCGTAGCTGCCTGTAGATTAAATACCACGAGCATCCACGAGTGTAAATATGCCTAAATATTACAAATGTGCACGCTATTTGTTTGATATTTTTCCATGTATATGCTCAGTGTACACGTGTCAACAGGCTAGGCGAAGTTTCTTGCGCATGCTTTTGCATGCTTTTGCTAACGAAGTGCGTATGGGTCTGCGGGGTGGAGCTGCCGACGTGGGAGCAACTCTCGAAATTAGTTTGCGTGGCGGCATTCTGTTTTTGCACAAAATTTTCTGACGGTTGGGTATCGATTTTCTGATTTTTCCGCTAATCGGGTAGGGATTCATGTGGATAGTGGAAAGGCAAAATTAAAGTATATATTAAAATGGGATACTGTAGACCGGGGTAGACATAAGGGTTCCGAAAAGAAGCCTCTAAGGCAGGCGACAATGAGATTGTGGAAAGGCAAATTAAAACGTACCGTATAAAAACGAGCAGCTGGACAGGTGACATTGAAAAGGGTTGTTGTAGACAAGGTCTTTGGTGGAGCGACTGACGTGAATGAGAGGAAAGGAGCGAAACAAGCGGGAGGAAACTAGCTTCATGTCGCTGAGGGTCTTCGTAGATAACATACTTGTTGGAGCTGCCGGCACAGAAGAACGAGAGAGCGTACTGGGTGATAAGGATTGTGGAAAGGCAAAATGAAGCGGGTGCTTGTAGATCAGGCCTTTGTTGGAGCTGCCGACATGGCCGAAAGAGTTGCAAACTGAGAGGGTTCGTGGAGATATGTTGGGCGGTGTGGATTGTGGCAGGGTAAGCTTAGGCGGGAAAGAGCGGGTATTCATGCACACTAGTCGGGTGGTTTAAGGTCTTCATCGGAGCTGTTGAAATAGCTGAAATACTTACAAGTCGAGAGGGTACGCGATGTGGATTGCGGAAGGATCAGGTTAAAGCGCAGCAGTCGGTAGTCATAAGGGTCGTGATAAATGTTCCGAAACGGAGCCGACGAGGAAGGTGGCATGGATTGTGAAAAGGTACTTTGATCTTGCTGGCTTTCGTTCCCCCCTTCTCAGGGAGTATGTTTCTATTCGGGATACTACATGGAATCTAGATAGATAGATAGATAGATAGATAGATAGACAGACAGACAGACAGACAGATAGATAGATAGATATCATATACATATAGCTATAAGTAGGTATATATATATATATTTATATGTGTGTGAATGTGTGTGTGTGTGTTCTATTTATCCATCGATCCATCCATTGTTTGCATTGTATGTATTTATGATTTATGTTTTTTTAAAACATTATATGTTTTCACTATATATATATGCTAATGTTCGTAGATGCATAGGAACATGTATTTGCCGTTGTATCGCGCACACAAACACCCACACCCACATCCACATCCACACCCACACGCACACGCACGCGCATGCGCACACGCACACGCACGCGCACGCGCACGCGCACGCGCACACACACAAACACACACACAAACAAACACACACACACAAACAAACAAACACACACACACACACTGTGGGATATGTAGATTCGATCGTAGTGAGGAGAAGTAAAAGAACACCAGTTCCTGAATAAAGGGCCTGAAACGGATCATAGGACATGAGGCATGAATTATGAAATATGAAAAATGGATTCCGGTTCTCAGCTTAGCCGGATGCTATATCGAAGTTACTTAGTCCCCGGTTCTCAGCTTAGCCGGTCGCTATCCTCTGATGCAGGTACGCTGGGTTGATCAGACCCATTATCCCATGATTGTGGTAGCTTCGTTGAGTGCGGTCTCACAATCATGCCGCACTCCCCTGCCAAATCAATATTTAGACTGCATGTTATTTGCAGTGTACACACACACACATGGCCTCTCAATATGAGAGGCAAATCAGTAAGAAGCACAGTAAAACTCTTTTTATCGACACCACTGCATCAAAGATTGTACGGGTTGGTCCTTCCAAAGACTACGAAGAAAACGATGGATTAAATATATATATATATATATATATATTCGCATCAGTGAAAAATTCAGGAATTCGTTGATACATAAGGCCCAGAAAATCCTGAACCTGGTCCAACTGAATTTTGGCTGGAAAAACATGAAAACGAATGAGGCGCAGACGAGCACAAAGTCCACTCAGGATAGCACGAGAAGCACTAGCACTTTGCATAGATCGTAAAGGTTTGTTTCAAGGTAATTCCAAAGTGATAGTCTGTTGCAAGGTATCAAGGTGGAAACCTAATGCCTCCTGTCCAGCAACCACTTCCAACAAAATGGGAGCAGAATAAAATTGTAAATTCCAGAAAACCTGAATATGTGATAGCTTTCGACTATGGCGAGAAATCAACAAAACACGATTGTCAACGTATCGATGATGTAGAGAACGATCCCAAGTAAATGGAGAAAATGACATTGCGAAGTTCCATTCTCGTTGAAGTGCAACTGCAGAGCATAGAACGGGTGCAAACTGGGCTCCCATACTGGCACCCCGACGTTGTCGAAATACTTGGCTCCCGACCGTGAAATACGAATGATCCAACAAATATTGCACCAAGCTAGGAATATCACGCAAAGTAATAGTCATATATTGTTTCGTTTTTTCTCTCCAAGATCCTTGAAAAAAACACGAAGAATCCGTTCCAAACGAACAACATGTCTAATCCTTGTTCACACTGAGAAGCAAAGGTGAATACAGCGAACTGTATGGCCAACAAAATACGATCATGTTCAACTTGATTGTAAAAACCAGCGATATCTGTTTGACGCAGGGAAAAGGCAGTTTCTGCAAAATCCTCCATAGAAAACAACGCACTGATACCAGTAATGACATCTTGAACATGTGCAAATTCCAAAATTCGATCCAAAAACCGCATTGAGGATGCAACTCGAATGCATCAAGTGATCTACGGAACGACACTGAAACAGCCGTCGGAGAAAATTATTTAAATCTTGGGACTTCTTGGTTGTAAACAGATCAGGAAGTCAAGAATGCGTCAAGCCTAACAAATCTTGATTGTCCACATATCGATGATGCAACGAACGATCCCGAGTGAAGGGTGAAAAAGAGAGATGATAGTTCCATTCACGTTGTAAAGCCACGGCTGAACAAAGTACAGGTGCAAACTGAGATCCCATACTGGCTCCCCGACATTGTCGAAATACTTGGCTCCCGACCGTAAAATAGGAATTATCCAGCAAGTATTGAACAATAGCAGGAATGTGTCAATGTAACAGAAAAGTATTGTTTTGAGATAACGTTCCAACTTGTGAATGTGAGCCTGCAGGACAGTGTCTAAACCTTGTTCGGTTTTCTGTGCATACGTGTACACGACAAACACAATGACATCAAAATTCCGGAAAGTTGTACTTGATTATAAAAACCAGCAATGTCTGCTTGATGCAAGCAATGCGCAGACTCCGCGAAGGACTCCATAGTAAACAATCGACGAATTCCTTCAATAACAGCTCGTACATCCGGAAATTCCAAAATGGACCGAAAGACAGTGTTCAAAATTTCGATCAGAAGAGTAGAAATCGCACTGCCCAATTTCCTAGCCCATGCTGTTGAATAATGCACAATTGGTCGAGCTTTTGCAAAATCACGGGTAGGTTTAGGCAAAATATATATCCTTTGCTCAATGTCGAATTGTGAAAACCTAATCCCCAGGAATAAGTTTGTTGAAGAGCGGGGATGACTGGAGGTTCCACACGTGTTGAAGGCGAAGGTGTAGCCTTGTCCCGAGCCAAAGTTGCCGCTGCTGCCTTGGTAGAATCGTCCCGAGTGGTTCCTGTGTAAGAGGCAGCACAGACATCTTTTTTTATCATAGCATGAATTGTTACATCTGGCAAGAATCTACGAAATGAAAGTAGCCACTCCATGAATGGTCGAAAGGTGAGATCGAAATGCCCAACGAGAATCTGATCCATGCACAACATCAAAGAAATAGCCCAACAATTGATCAGCATAAACTCCACCCTGTGACGTCCGAATGTGTGCTTGACGTGCAAAAGCACGACCAACAATACAAACAGGCCGAGCAGTATTGAGGCCGCCAAATTTCTTGGCTTGTTCCAAAATTTTCAGCACATGTTTCCTAGAAAAGGAAGAATCATCATTGAACAGTACTCCCCGAGAGTAGAAGGTATTGGGAGTCAGCCAGTCTGGGCTCCGTACATCGCATGATGATGGTCGAACGACCCCTTCTCGCACAGCTAAGGCCATTCCCAATACTGATGTATTATGGCCAAATCCAAAGTACTGAAAAATATCAAAATTGTCCGCACGCCACTGCGGGAGTGCCAAGTGCGCATAGATCGCAATAGGCTGTTGCTGGGAGTTGAAAATGATCTCAAATTTCTCAACCAATGAAACGTTGTTGCTGTAACGTCCCAAAGCAGTAACCAGAAAGCGGAGAGATGTCAAAACAGAATCACGCAAAACAGGGTTACGTAGTTGTGCAGAAAATCGATGCTTCAAGTCAGTCGAAATGTAATCATGCCAAAATTGAGTGTGATTCACTGCATCTTCATGAGTAATGTAACCACGGGAGGAGTTAAAATGGTCAGCATTAGGTATCCATTGTTGACATCTCGTATCTTCGATCAGCATTCCATCTTCAAAGGCATTCTTCACGCAAATGGATTATCAGCAATTGATTTGTGAATACGAAGCATCTGTTGATAAAGAAAAAGAATGTCGATCGTCTTGAACAAATCGTTTGCACCCACTAAAAAATTCAGATGAAAATGTCGCCACGGGAAGAGCGACCCAAAATTGAAATCCTTGTGTCTTCAATTGAGGGTGGACCATTTCTTTGACTTCATGACTGGTCTGAAAAGGATCATCAGTCTGAGTCCGTCCAATGGTAAAACAGATAGTCTCATTGCGGACTGGTGGTGCCACTCGCTCACTAACTGAAGACCAAATTCGTTCAGGAGTATTACTTGTTCCAGATTGCTTCACATGATGGTAAAGACCATAGCACGGAACCTGAACTGAGCTTGTAGCACTTTGTAGCTCATGAAGAGGATCTGGTTGGAGATCAAGACGACGACGTTTGGGTTCCGGACCACTTGGAGTAAGCACGGAAGGTCCCGGACCAGCTGGTAGAACAGCAGACTGCACCAAAGGTCCCGGACTACTTCCAGGTAGTCCATGAGAAGGATCACACAAGGTCCCCGACGATCCCAATGCTGATTGGACAAATGTGAGCGGCTGAGTAAACAAATTTCCCACACCAGGTACTAAAGAAGACATGGAAGACATGAATGCATTGCATTGAAAAGCCAATGGTAACATCATTTGTTGCATAGAATGCAACTGTTGAGTCTGAATTTGTTGCATCTCAATGATGTGTCTTTGCATCGTTGCCATTCGTTCCAATGAACGAGCATGCTCTTGTTGGGTACGCAACATTGAAGACATAGAAGATTCAGTCATACGTAAATTGTTCAACTGCTGCGAAACACTATTGGGGATCACTCCCGGAGGAACCGGCAAATTCGGGGGAGGTCCCGATGATTTTACAAAAGTTCGAAGATCCATGGCTCGAAACTACGGCTCTAAGGTTAAATGTAGAATTAGATCATACCATAAGAGCACACAAAACTGAGGATATGACCACATGTACTGGAAGAAGTGCGCATTCAAAGTACTTCGTCATACGACAACTTCTCCCCTGTGGGTACTTCGCCAATTGGGCAAAACTTCGCCTTATGGCTGTCAATATGTGTTGGACGAACTTCAATGTCCACCTTGACATTGTCTACTTCTTTTGCATGTAATATGCAAAGGGAACTTCAGGATGTTGGCAACATCCCACTCTGCAGCCGGGAAAATGCCCGGTCATAACTTTCATATCCGTCGAAACGGACAGACGGTACTACCAAGTGAGGTAGAGTACCCGAAACACACTGTGGGATATGTAGATTCGATCGTAGTGAGGAGAAGTAAAAGAACACCAGTTCCTGAATAAAGGGCCTGAAACGGATCATAGGACATGAGGCATGAATTATGAAATATGAAAAATGGATTCCGGTTCTCAGCTTAGCCGGATGCTATATCGAAGTTACTTAGTTCCCGGTTCCCCCGGTTCTCAGCTTAGCCGGTCGCTATCCTCTGATGCAGGTACGCTGGGTTGATCAGACCCAGTATCCCATGATTGTGGTAGCTTCGTTGAGTGCGGTCCCACAATCATGCCGCACTCCCCTGCCAAATCAATATTTAGACTGCATGTTATTAGCAGTGTACACACACACACACGTACCCACGTGAGACTCACTCAATCTTTTGTGGGGTTGATTCTGTGGGACAAGGTTTGCTGTGCCACTCCTTCCATTTCCGCCCCAGTGTGATCCGTTTTTCTTGCATGCCAATTTACCATCATCCAGCTACATAAACCAGAATGGTGGACTGATGTGCATTGACCCTTGGTGGCTGCTTATGGTGGTCACATGGATCAAAATCTTGCCATGTGAGCCACTTAAAGAAGTTGTTTCTTTTGTTTTCATTTCCTGCTATCACCAAAGTGGTACTAGTAACAAGGGGAAACTACACACTTTGGATGCCAACACTGGCAGGAGGCTGCCCGATACACCAGAGTAGGGCATGTCATGCAATAGATGCATTTGTCAGCAGCGAAAAAATATTTTGGTCAGCGTTGCTGTGGTGGCACATCAGGAGGCCGACTATGGTCTTCTGGACCAAGACTTCGGCAACAAAACTAGCAGGACCCCGAGGAACAATTGTAGAATCAAATCTGATGATGTTTAGTTTGTAATGTTTATACATCGCACTTTGACTGTTGTTTTCGTACAGGTATTGTTGAGTGAAGTGGACGACGACGTTCTTTTCCCCCAAAAAGTCGGGAACCCTCTCCCGGAGGTCACGGTTAAACCCCCATCACGCGCCATAGGAACATGTTTTTTGATCATTTTGAGCCAATGGTGGCTGATGGTGGCTGCTTTGACTGAGGCAAAATTTGGAACAATCGCACATCCATCTTTTGTGGCTTGGCATGGCTCGACCGTTTTCATGGGGAGGTTAACAGGAAATCCACCGGATCTTTGCTTGCACATCGGGTCAAAAATGGGTATATATGTTTGAAAATAGGGGACGCCAATACATAGTAATTTTAATGGGTAAAATAATGATAATCTATTGGAATTGGGGTACCCAATTTTCAGACAAACCCAAATGGTATTCTCATGCACATGAGCGCAGCACTATGCAGTAACAAATACAAACTTCAGACTGTCAAACTCAACCCAGTAGTGTGCTACCAATTAAGTTGGACAATTTGGGCGCGGGATAGTAAAAATTTGGAGATCTTGGTCGGGCTTTCTGAGAGTTGCCTATTTTGTGAGGCTTCATGGTGGTGCAGCAAGGATCCATGGAAGTCAGATTGGCGCAATTTCAGTTCCTCGGGCGCACTTGACACAGCCCTGTGATCCAATGGACATGACATGGAGAAAAACGAGTTGGATGCTTTCCCAACTTTCCTGCTAACAACTTTCGGTTGGAACATAAGAACCCCAAGTTACAAGGAACACCTATGTAAGATATGTAAGTTTCCATCCAGTATTCACCCACAGGGTAGCAAGGCGTGCTGCATCGCGAAGGTTCAAAAAGAAATGTGGCATTTTCGAGTGCAACCATTACGCGGTGTATTCAGATGCACCCGAAGCACCTTGGCGGAACAAGCCCCAGGAGCTGCCGTTGCCCCCAACACAGTTTGAACTTGCAGGGCTGGGCTTGACTTTTTGGCAGGGGCTGGATTTTCAGGATCTTTCAGGTGCCAGTTGGAACAGCCCTAGGACCCCGAAAGTTTCGCCAACTGCTCAGGCAATATCTCTGGGATTGAACTCAGATGGCCGCCTGGAGAACGCAGCCGGGTGTGCTTCAGATTTAAGTGTTCATCATTTTTCATGGGAGGCCCCCAATTGTGACACAGCTTGGGAACTGTTTTCCTTTGCCTAGTGACCTAGTGACGCCGTGTCAGCGCGTCGGCCTGTGGGGCCCGTGGCAGACAATTGCAGGTACACATTGGCAAAGGGAAGGCATGGAATTCACAAAGAACGGCAAATTTTCTCTGAACTTCACATTTGACCAAGCTATACCAGTACCACAAAGTGGGTTCCGGAGCACACTTTCTTGGACCGCTTAAAAGGCGAAGAAGTGTAAAATCATGCGTATGTCCAAATGCACATATATAATCATATATACGGTGCACACACACACATATACATATATATATACACGTATATAGTCTATTCACATACGCATATGCATATGGCATATGCATGCAACATTTAATTTGTGTTTGCCCTGAAGTACCAAGGAACTGAAGAGAAGACCATTCCAATTCCAGGTGCTTTGCTTGACATGCGGGGACAGGCATCAATCAATTTCACAGAACTACAGTTGATCATGACTCATGACTCATGATATAAGGATTATAAGGATGTCTATAAGCATATAGACACACATAGACACACACACACACATATATATATATATATACATATAATATATAACACGCATACATACATACATACATACGTACATACATACATACATACATACATACATACGTACATACGTATACATACGTACATACGTACATAAGTACATACGTACATACGTACCAACCAACCTACCTACCTACCTACCTATCTACCTACCTACCTACCTACCTACCTACGCACGCACGCACGCTTCGACGCACGCACGCACCGACGCACCGACGGACCGACGGACTACCGGACCGACGCACCGACGGACCGACGGACTGACGGACCGGCGGACGGACGGACGGACAGACAGATACATCCATGCATGCATACAGACAGACAGACATAAATACACATAGATACACATAGACACACATAGATACACATGGATACACATAGATAGATACACATAGATAGATACACATAGATAGATACACATAGACACACACACAGATACACATAGATACACATAGATACACATAGATACACATAGATACACATAGATACACATAGATACACATAGATACACACAGACACACATAGACACACATAGGTACACATAGACACACATAGGTACACATAGATACACATAGATACACATAGATACACATAGATACACATAGATGCACATAGATACACATAGATACACATACATACACATAGAATACATACATACATGCATGCATACATACATACATAGATACATACATAGATACATACATACATGTATACATGCATGCATGCATACATACACGCATCCATCCATCCATCCATCCCTCCATCCATCCACCCATCCTTCCATCCATCCATCCATCCTACCTACGTACATACGTACACGTATACGTACATACGTACATACGTACATACGTACATACAAACACACATACGTACGTACGTACATACATACATACATACACATACACATACACATACACATACACATACACATACACATACACATACACACATACACATACACATACACACATACATACATACATACATACATACATGTATCATACATACATACATACATACATACATACATACATACATACATACATACATACATACATACATACATACATACATACATACATACATACATACACACATACATACTACATACATACATACATACATACATACATACATACATACATACATACATACATACATACATACATACATACATACATACATACATACATACACATGCATTAGGCGCAGACATATGCACAACACACATAATATATATATACATATATATATATACATATATATATATTGTTTCTTTATTATTTATTTATTTTTATATATATATATACATAAATATTTACATATTTATATTACATTACATAATATACACAGTCTTGGGGGAAACTACCTTTGTCAATGTCGGCCATCGGAGGTCCTCCTGCCTTGAAGGGGTTGCAAAGTTGCCTCGGGTGCCATTCGCAGAAGACGTACATCATGAACGTCCCTCATTTGCATCACATGACATGAGGATCGCATAACGACCTGGATGGCACGGGAATACACAGAACAGGTTGAGGCTATGGCTGGATGTTTTCGCATCGTGTTGTCATATCCAAATCAGCTTCTGAAAGGTGCCCTTCAAAACCCCCAAAACGACCAATTTTCTTGAGACATGCGACTGCACCGGTCGTTGTGACTCATCCCCAAGGCAAATGTCTTGATGCGAGCGTGGGACAAGGCGGCCAAGGATGGAATTGCAGGAAACTTTGGCATCAAGCTGTTGGATGGGTTGAAGGTGGAGGGTTTCTGTTCAGGGCCTAAGGGATCTAACTTTGTTGAGCAAGATCATCCCTCAGAACTCTTTCGAGTTGAACCCGGTTTCAATGTTTCCATTTCCATGGGTTCACTATGATGTGCATTGACGTGCATTCTTGTGGTAGTGTTTTTTGCCACTATTATCATCCATTATCCATTATCAGAGTCAGTTTTGTGAGACTTCGTGGTGTAGCCTGGGCGCATGTGAGTCCATAATCTGCAACACTTGGTGCCAATCTCTCTGAGCCACCTTTGGCTCAGCCGTGTTCCTGAATTGCCCTATGGGAAGCGGTTCCTCGACGCGCAGCAAGGCTGGCCCAGTCTCTTTCCTGCATGGGATTTGCTGAGGGAACTTCCGCCGCAAATGGTGAGGGTTCTGCTCTTATGGCTTATTATGGTTTATCAATGGCGCTTAACTACTACTTGCTTGCTTGCTTGCTTGCTTACTTACGTACTTACTTACTTTACTTTACTTTACTTTACTTTACTTTACTTTACTTTACTTTACTTTACTTTACTTACGTACTTACTTTACTTGACTTCACTTTACTTTACTTTACTTACGTACGTACGTACTTACTTACTGACTTACTTACTGACTTACTTACTTACTTACTTCCTTACTTCCTTACTTACTTACTTACTTCCTTACTTCCTTACTTCCTTACTTCCTTACTTCCTTACTTCCTGACTTCCTTACTTACTTCCTTCCTTCCTTCTTCCTTTCTTCCTTCCTTCCTTCCTTACTTACTTACGCACTTTACTTCCTTACTTACTTACGCACTTTACTTCCTTACTTACTTACTTACTTACTTACCTACTTACCTACCTACCTACCTACCTACTTACTTACTTACTTACTTAGCTTCACACTGCCTTGATGTCCTTCATACGTTGGTTTCATTGCCCTGTGCTGATGACATTTTGCTTCCCGCCACATCAGAGGTGGCAGAGGCAGAGGTGAAAGAGGTTGCAGAGGCTGAGGCTGCAGAGGTGGTGCCAGCTGAGATGAAGAAGAAGGGTGGACACATGAAAAAGCAGGAGGCAGGAGCGCGAATGGCCGCAGCACACCACGAACGCATGGAGAATTTCACCTTGTCACTGGGCGGCATTTTTAAGAGCGTTTTGTAACTTTATTTATTAGATGTATTTAGAAGGAAAACTCCCAAAGCTTACCACTGCCATCCCGGGTTTGGGGGGCAGGTTTGCAAGATGCATGTTTCCAAGGCCCACCGGTGCGTGCCAGCCGTATGAAGGTGATGATGAACACTGCATGGATTGCTTCCAGATGGCGACTTGCAACATAGACGGACTGATCAATTTTGTTGATTGATGACCGATCACCTTCAGCTAAATTCAATCCACTTCGCTTCCAGAGAAGTCGGTATTGATGGCCAAGAATCTTCAGAAGGATTTGGACAAGTAATTGAGGCCATGTGTCAGCACCCCTACTGTGGCACTTGCGGCTTTTGCAAGTCTGCTAGTGCGGACTTTGATCCAGAAAGAGAGCTTCTGGATTATCAGTGCATGTGCATTCAGTGTGCCAGAGCCATGAATAGGCCAGGAGGTTGTCCCTTTACGTGCTTGCCAGCAGTAGGCAGATGATTTCTCCATTGCCATTTCTTGACATTTTGCCCGATCTGGGAAATGGGAAATACAGGTGCTGCGCATGTGGCAAGGCCTTCAATGGGAAACCCATCGAGGCACGCTGCACAGCTTGCTTAACATCTGCGATTTTCAGATGGTTCCTTGAGGGTGGGCGAATGTTGTAGATTCTGTTTTTCAGAGGCAGTAGAGGAAGCGTATTTAACGATGTCCATATGGAATCCCCACACAATTTTCTTGGTCTGTTGATTCGGTACGGTACTGAGGGTTCTACACCCAGGCCATCCAAAGTCTGCCTTTCCGCAAATGCCGCAGTTTGCTCCAAACGTCGCAGGTGACTTTGCCTTTGCAACATGGTCCAGGCAATGATGAGGCTCACGGAGTCTTGCTGCCCGACGAAGACGGAGAGATCGAAGAGAACTGGTCAAAGCGGATGGCTGCAGCCCTGGAAGTGGCTAGGCAAGGCCTTGCACTGACATCCTGCATCCTCTGGATCCAGCTGCTGGAGTTGATCACACTGCCATACAGAGCCATACCCTTATCCCCTGTGTCCTCACCTTGCGAAATGATTATAGACACACATCCATTTTGTCAGTAGCTGCCTGCTTCAGGAAATACAGCGGCTTCTCGAAGTTTCACGACACCTATCCTCCGCTCTTCGAAGAACTTTGGGACGCATGGCGCGGCGCGTGGCAAACATTTTGGTACCTTTTTCTGTGTGTGTGCTATTGGTGGGTGAGAATCTGTCCTGTTTTTTAGCCATGCTTCCACTGCTGGAAGGACAGTGGTAGACGATTGCAGGTGTAACATGGCATGTCTAACTAATTATATAATAATGGAGGGTTATTTATTTTGTTTTTTTTTTTGCCCGTTTTGTTTTTTTCCTTGGATTTCTGTTTCCCTGCTTCTTTGCTTTTCTGCTTTTCTGCTCCCTGCTTCTTTGCCTGTGTGCTTCTCCAAGATTTCTGCTTTTCTGCTTCTCTGCTTTTCCCTGCTTCTTTGCTTCTCTGCTTTCCCTGCTTCTTTGCTTCTCTGCTTTTCTGCTTCTTTGCTGTTCTGCTTCTCCGCCTTTCTGCTTCTCTACTTTCCCTTTTGTTTTTTGGGGCTTCTTAAGCCTAAACAATCCCTAAGATACATTATAAATAAACCCTAAACCAATCTTAAATAGACCCCAAAATATCCCAAAAAGGAAACTGAGATAGCCTTAAGTAAACCCTAAATAAATACGAACATTTGCCCCAAACAAATCCCAAACCAACCCTAAATATATAGATCTCAAGCGAATTCTAAATAAACCCTGAACCAAGCCTAAATAAACCTTAAACAAACTTTACATAGATCTTAAACAGACTCAACCAGACCTAAACAAACCCTAAACCAACCCAAAGCCAACCCTAAACCAACTCTAAAACCAACCCAAAACAACCCAAACCAACCTAACAAAAACTAAACCAACCCGAAAACCAACCCTAAATAAACCAACCCTAAACCAACCCTAAATGAATCCTAGTTGCAAAAAGCATGCGACATGAACAGTTCGAGCACCAAAATGTTGCAAATACTAGGGAAAATGAGAGGTTCGAACTCCAAAATGTTGCAAAATACAGTTGAAATGGCAGCTTCCAGCTCCAAAATGCTGCAAATACCAACGGAAACGGACAGGACAGGAGATCCAAAAAAAAAAACAGAACGAACAAAAAATAATTCCCAAAACAATTCCGGACCCGAATAGCACACAGTAGAACATAGTAGAACACTTCAAAGCACCATGATTCCAGAGAAACATCATGATGCTAGCTGCTAGCTTGCTGATGATTCTTCTACTCACCAGTCCCAAATTGCGGGAACTCGACTGATCTGAATGTATATGCATGTGGGCATAAACATCCCGCCGGACCGGAAACCGTTCCCATAAAACGCGTGTTTTTTTAAAAAAATGTGATTTTACCACAGTGCCGTGCTGATTTGATGATTGGAAATCCTGGAAAAACTTGGGGCGCGTTTTTTGGCTTTTCAGCGTCATCGCTGCAACGCATGCGTAGCAACATGTCACGTAGTCAGCGATCCCAGAGATCTTAGCAGCGTAGCAACATGTAACGTCGTAAACGATCCCAGAGATCTTAGCAGCATGGCAATATATCATGTACGAAGTACAAGGAACGTTAACATGCCCCCCCACCCCACCCCAACCCACACTAGAGACCTCAGCAGCGTAGCAACATGTCACGTAGTAAACGATCCCAGAGATCTTAGCAGCATGGCAATATATCATGTACGAAGTAAAAGGAACGTTAACATGCACCACCACCCCACCCCACCCCACCCCAACCCACAATCGCGATATTCAAAAACGCGCGTTTTAGGGGAACGGTTTTCGGTCCGCAGGCATAAACATTAAGGTTAGTTGAATAGCTTGCCCCGCAAAGAATAAACTGGCCTCTTGCGTCCTGTTCCTGTGACAAACTGTGACCTGTTGCTGGTGGGCGGGTTTGCTCCACTGACCAACCGCGACAGCCTGTGCCAGGACAAGTATGACGCAGAACACAGTGGCTACATCAAGGCTGCTGATGCCGAGGCGTTTGCAAAAGACATGGTGGCCTCAGGTTGGAAGGACTGGGCACCTTCCGAGCGGGATTGCAGCTTCTTGGCAGCACTTTTGCCAGGCACTTGCATTGCGCATGTTTGGGGGTGCCTGGATACTGTTGAATGACTTCCCACGCATATCCGCAGCCCTCAAGCTCACTCATTAAAGGTCTGTGGAAACAGATTGAAGAGGAGTTTGGTGGAATTAGCTTGGAGCAATTTGCAGAGATGAGCGAGAACGGCGCTGCCTGACAGAATATTGACAGAATATGCGGGCTGCGAACTTCGGCACACTGGGTGCGCCGGGTCACGGTCAATTGTGCTGGTTGGCCAAGAAACCAATCAACAAGTTAAAAACAATGGTGGAGGTTAAGCACCGAGTTCCCCCTTGAGGCTTTCTCCTAGATAGTCCCAAGTCTAGAACTATTTTTTGAAGTTTGGTTGGCGGTCCTTAGTCAACACATCCTGCTTCTTCACATTTGGGAAGGGGCAATAGCACCAAGGATTTTGCCGTATGAGTATGAGGCCGCAACATGCCATAGCCATACAGCTGCGCAATCGGTCTCAATGGGGGATGCCGACAAGATCCTGGAAGGGCAGCTTGTGATGCTGATCTCACAACTTCAAATAATCAAAGTACTCGACGAACTGATCATGGATACGGGAACAGCGATCCACCAAGAGCACTTTGCATTTTGAGGAATACTTAAGTGTCTGAAGACAGTAGTTGGAAACCATTGCCATGAAGACTAACCGACGCAACATCCCGCAACTGCAGCAAAACTGTGCACGGAGAGAAGCATACCAGTGATCAGCCGACATGCCCTCCATAACATGGTGATCAGACATGCGGAAATCACCTCGTTCTGTTTTCAATCTTTGTGGTGTCTTCGGAAGCGAACGCCACGTTCCGTCGCAGAGATGTGACTGGCAGTTGTGCATTGCTTGCAATGAAAAAAGACCTGCTATGGTACCGCTCCTGGGCTGATCAGATTGACAAAGGGAGCCCCTGAAAAGCAACTTTGTCGTAAAGCTATACACTAACCATCCGATTTAATCCATTTATGTTTCTATCCAATGAATCTAAGCACTAGAATGACTCAGCATGGTCTGAGTAACGGAAGCCGAAAGTAGGGAGTGGACTTGGGATGTTCAAATTTGTGTGAAAACCTTCACAACCGATAGTGGACCACCCACTTGGCCATGTCCTTTGCGAGTAGAAAGCAATTTTGTCCACCACTCATCTATCTAGATCTATAAATTCCATTAAAGGCATTAAAAAAAGAAACTGCATCCTTCATCTGGCCATTTGGTATGTCCAATCCGCCCATCAATTTTAAATGGTTGGTCAGGGTGTGCATTCATTTATTGAAAGCTTGATTCTATTGACAAGATCTCCATATTCAGAAGAACTCGGCTGGGCAAGGGGCTCAAAGAGGCTTGCATTCTCAGTTTCCTAGACTGATTGAAAACCCAAGATTTCATGGGAAGCTGAAGTGTTTGACCTGAGGACAGCATTCCTGGATTGTCAAGGTGCTTGGGGGCTTAGGGTGGGGCTTTGGGATGCGGGCGGCCTCTGTGTGTGGACCTATTTTTGTCGGATTTTGTAGCAGAATTCGTTACCCCATCATAGCTTCAAACCACCCAAGTTTGATCAACTCTTGGCAGGTGGATGCAGATTCCATGTTAAGTCGGGAGCCAAGGTGGTCGAGGCGTTTCTTGAAGGTTCGTTTTCAAAGGCCAGACTACGCCTAGCTCACCGCAACAAAGAAACGTCTGAGGTTGGACGGCAGGAGTCAAGTTGTTTTTAGATGTCTTTAGTAGGGTGGAGTCCTCTTGGTGTGAGTCAAAAGTTCAGGCTAGGCCCCTGCAGAATTTGACCAACACACACACACACATACACAGTGAGAGAGAGACAGATATATATATATATATAATGCATTATAATGCATTATATATATAATATGTGTACAGATGTGCAAATCTATTTAGAGCTAACAACACTGTGCAAGAGCTGATGGTGTTTGAGGTGCTCCGCGCCTCGTCCAGCAGATCAAAGAGCACGGAAAATTTGCAGCTTGGCCACAGGGTAAAGGGGTCAACATCGAGACTTTCTCACAAAACACCGCGGGAAGCGACATGAAAGAACATGAAACAACCGCGAATGGATAATGGTGCAGGTTATGGTCATTTCTGCAAATCCACGCGGGAGAGTCCATGAGTTGAAAAAACGGTTATGCGGTTGAACATGCTTTGAAAGAAATATGGGGTGATCCCAGTTTATTTTTGACATATTGTTTGCCTTTTTCTCCCATTTTTTCCGATATTGATGCCTCACCATGTTGGTGCTGGACCACTTCAAGTGAACCTTTGCTGCGTTCCGGCGCCGAGGATGTGCCGGACCTCTGGCCGGGGAGGCAAAAGGTTTTTGTGAAACTTTCTCCACGCTGGAAACTTCAGTGGTGAAGCTGGGATCATCAAACATGGAGAGTTTGCTGATCCAACCGGCCCTGCCAGGTTTTTCAAGAACTGCGGCATTTTGGACTCCATGCAAGGCTGTTCGGGATGGAAGATTCCCGACTTTTTGTGCGTGCCATTGACGTGAAACCACGACACACTTGTGACGCAGGAGTCAATGATTCAAATGCAGTTACATAACTAGAAGTTGCTCCGTGCTGCAGCGCTGCTCCTTCTTCGTGCACGACATGTATTGACATGTATTAACTACACTCTGCATACACTGTCGAAGAATGCCTAGAGATCCTAGAGAGAAGCCCAAGAGCCTGGGCCTAAATGGCCAACATGTGCTCGAAGCTCAAATTCTATTCGAGTCTCAGAGTCCATACCCACCAGCCGCACTGTGGCACAAGCTCTGTGGCCTGTGATGATGTGATGCCAGGACCAGTGGAAGTTCTTTCGCGCCAAGCATTCTACAACTTTGTGGCAAACAAATACAAATGTTCCCTGGCTGCATTCTAAAGGGTATGCTGGCACACCCAAAGGAGCCTGTGAGCATGAAGCCCAAGCATTGGCTCATGGCGGATGGCTGACACGGAAATGGCCTTGATCAAATCAGCAAAGATAGGACCGTTCTTCTTTTGGCACCTGGTGGAGCCAGTCATCTCTTTTCCCGTCGTGCACGCTTGCTTCACCTTTATCCCGTGCGCGCTATTGTGTTGCTGGTTGTTGTCGTTGATTCTTCTTGCCTCTTCTCCGTAATTTTGCTTGTTTCTCCCCTATCGAGCTTTGTCGTGTGTTCTCGGTCTTCTCTCCGGGGTGTGTTTTTTCCGGGTTGGCGCTTTTTCGTGGCTCGTTGGCTGGGTTTTCTTGTTTGCGTGGCCCTCTTGTATGTATGTGGCTTGTTTCGCCTTTTCCTTGGCTTCTTTGTGTTAATGGTTGTTATTTTTTTTCTTTTTTTTTCTTCTTTTGGCACCTGGTGGAGCCAGTCATCTCTGCTCAAGAGATTGAGCCTCAAAAAGGTCACCGATGACTTCTGTTTTGAGGGATGGCTTGTGTTATGTTGGTTCCCCCACTGTCCTGCCACCTGTTTGATGGCCTCAGCCGATCTGCGCGTGCTTAGTACAAGTAGTACAACCAATCTCGTTTTTGTTTCTTGTCAATGTTACCATGTAAAAAATATGTAAAGACATTATGGCTAGCCTAGGCACAAAACTGGCCATTGTGGTGTGGATTGAACCAAGGCTATCAGAGCATGGATTGGACCCACATGGGCTGGGACCCAAAGGGATTGGGCCACTGATGTTTCGCAGGCCTTTCATGTAGAACCTTTGAGAAGCACGTTCTCATTGCTTTTGCAGCCTATGAGGGCCGTCAATTTGATTCCTTTTCCTTATATACTTCAATCAGATGGCCGAAAGACGGCTCACGAATCTTCACTGCAACTTCCCCATCCCTTCAGTCACAGCTTGCATAATATATGCTTTCATTAAGACCAGTATATGATTAGAGGAGGCTTTCGAATCTTGATCGCAAAGAAGGTACCATGGGCCAGTTTCCAACCCGGATTTGGTATTTTTCAATGAGGTGAGGATGTCTTTGTGCTCCATTGCTTGAAACAACTGGGTGTTTGGTCAGTGCACATTGACACGGCAGGGGCGCTCAATTCTGGGCACGGGGCCGGGGATTTTTACGGTTGGACTGGACATTTCCAGGGTCATAAAGGGTCATAAATCAGTCTGGGACAGGATTTTCGTTCTGGCCATGCTACAAACAGTTTCCCGGAAGGCTTTCGGAAGAGGTGAGCCGGTCATCCATGGACACTGAGTCACTACGCGTCCAGCTGCTTCAATGAGTGATGACCATTCCACGCGCAAGTCGCACAAGAGCTGCCACGCCCGTCCCTGTGCTCAGATGCTGCATGATGCTTACTGCTCCTACAGCGGCAACTTGGCAAAGATGGAGCGTGGTACAGCCCGGTGGAATGGGCAACGCGGGGAAACAATTGCAACCCTTCAGTTTTCAGCATTCTTCAGCGACGTTAGTCAGAGGAAGGCTCTGCAAACCATTGAAACCCCCTCATGTCGATGGCTTACACCTCGTCGCTCAAGGCGCTCCACCATATTCCAGATTTCCAGATTCATCCAGGTTTGACATTCGATGAAATCAGGTGAAACAATCACGAATTTAAAAAGCATCAAAATGCATCAAAGTGAGGTTTACCGAACTGCTGGGAGCCTAATGTGGCAGTGTTCCATCCACTCAAAGACCTGCCCGGGTCCGGGGCCCAGATGAGAGAGGAATCTGCTGGTGGGCCCGTCTTGCGAATTGAGATGGTTTCAGACATGTGGGGTGATTTGGGGTGATTTTAGCACAGAACTCCATCCCAGAAAATTCTTCAGCTGACTTGCTTATGCCTGCCCCATTTTGGAAGACACCCCATGTCCACAGACAAGAAACATATCATATCAGTTTTGGGATCTAGCTGGATACTAGCTGGAGAATGCCGGGGAGCGAAGCCGAAAGCCACCACGACACACCCGGAGATATGCCTGGAATCTGAAACTGCTCCATCACATGATATCACATGCATATTAGTTTTTGTGGGTGAGGTCGGTCTCGCAGATTCAACTTGGATTAGACATTAGAAGGCAGCAATTCAGCAGAAACATCCTCCAAAATCTCCAGCCACAAGTCTGCAGTGCCCTCTGCATGCACCTCATTGCATCAAAGAACATGGACAAAAATGGCACAGCAGATTGATGATGGTACAGTTATATATATATATATAGAAT